AGTCATTCAGACGAATGCATTGAAGGTTTGCCTTTGACAGCGCACACAACGGCAATTGTCAATAAAGTATAGAGCTGCAAAAATGACCTCAAATTGCTCGTCGGCAGCGCTTGGAGCAAAGTAAAAAAAAAAACACGTTGTTGGCAACATACAAGGAAATATGCCTACCGCAATATGCCTACGCAACAGTTTGAACTTGGGACAAAAACGGTATGCCTTCTGATATGGCCGGTATCTATACATAACATACATAACGAGACCTCAATGCTCTCAGTGAAGAAGTACAATTTCATGCTAAGACCTCCAGGGCACGTCAGATGACACGTCAGAACGCACGAACGAATCGCAGCTTTACATCGCTCAACCGCTGGACCTCACATTGTGGCGACAAGCCACTGACAATCACCATCTTTATAAACTCTCACCCCTTGAGTGCCGTCATCGGAGTTCAGCAGACTTAACTTCGATTTATCCAGACTCAATCCCGACGTACGCAACCTTTGTCCAGTGAAATGAAACCAACCTCCACTTAACTTTACAGTTTAATCCCACTCAGCTAATACCCCGGTTAACCAAACACACCGTCGAAACAGCACTTTATTGGACTGACGTTGATGTTGTCTCGACCGTTTGTCATCTTCTTTTTACCGCTTTCTCCTGGTTTCCCTCAGACTTTAAGAGACGCTTTTCTCAATCTTCTTAATGAAGGCGGAATCTCAATCGTTTTGTTAGCCAACTTTAAGTCCTGCTCGGAAGGCGATATATGTATTAACCTCAAGAGCACATCATCTATAAGAGTATCTTCTGTTGCTCCGCTGCCTACGGAGTTGAGGTCTTTGCCGTGAGTAAAAAACCAGCACTGCAACTACTGGAGCTTGCAACCGCCGTAGATTTCAGAGCTGGAGCATCGGTGTTCATTTAAACGACATGACCAAGCCAGCGGAGCAGTTGTATTTTAATTCACAAAAGAGAGACAAAGCCTCGGATAAGACTCTTCCTCCCCTTTTTACGAGCTATATAATAAATACAGATAATAAAAACGTTCTGCATTATTATTGCGTTCTTAATATATTTTCTGCTTCATATTCCTAGATATTTCTTTGAACCAAGCTACTAACTGATTAAAAACTTGAGCAAGTAACCTTACCAACAAATCGGTTTAGAAATAACAATTTAACAGCGAAAAAATGAAGAAAAACTCGTATTTGCTTTCTGCATAAAATATTGCAAATACGTGACTCAATGATTTTGGTAAAATATTTATCAGACGGTTGAAACAACATCGATTGTGGTATGTATGCCTTTTATTTTAATAAAGATGCTTAAACTGGTTTATGTTCACTACTTTAAGTAGGTAAATGTTACGAAAAGAAAATGAGTTGCCAAAGAAACATTAAACCATTTCTACATAGTGTTAGCAAAAGTAGATCAAATGCTATGCTTACTATAACTACGAGAGCATAAGTACTAGGTACATATCGCACTCCGTATTCAAAAGAGTCACAACTAAAAATTTGGCATTTTTGAGATTATGCGCTAAAAATGTACGCAAAGCTTTTATTTACCTTTCAGCAAAAGCTGGAGAAAATTTTTTTTATTATTTTGTTAAAAAAAACCCTAAGGTAAAGTCGCCCTTGCCCTTATGATTAACATGTGCTAAGAAATAGTTTTTCGCATTTTCCGACAAACGTATTATTTTGAGTTGTGACTCTTTTGAAGACGGTGTGCGATATGTACCTAGTACTTATGCTCTCGTAGTATACTAAGCATAGCATTTGATCTACTTTTGCTAACACTATATTTAATTGACAAATTAACAAGCCAGCATACGTTTGAATATATATTTCACTACAACAAATCCACCACATGTCTTTTTCGTCATGCGATTTATTTTGAAGGGAAATTGCCATCTTACTTTAGTGGATTATTTATCAATGTAATTGTGGCTTATTATTTCTGTTGGATTTTCGTAGCTAAAACTTATTAGTTATATAACTTCATACTTACTTCGATTAGCGCTTCTTTCTAACATAAATTTAATGAGAATACATTTTTTATTAAACCCGATTAAATAAAGCGCTGTTCTACTGAAAGAGTATTGAACTCGTGCCGGCCGGCCACATTTCCACTTATGTATGTGTTTCTATTCCTCCTAAATTATCTGGTCATACGATAAGTATGATTGCAATTAAGTAAGTCAACCAATGGAATGTGCTAATTAAAGACGATCGTCGTGATAATTGAGTGGGTCATGTTATGCGCTAAAATTAGCGCTTTCTTCACTATTTGACTCACAATTCGCGTGGCAATCATTCATTTACCGATGTAAGTGCAGATTTTAACATGGCAACATTGCGATCCACGCCTTAAAGAAATCGCACAAAATAAGTTGCAAGGCTATTATCGGATAACAGTTAAGCAATCCATTTAAAAAATTAGGTACCAAAGAGTTTTAAATGGATTGAGTTAGGCTCTTGCTTGTGTAATCGATTAGCAACGACTATAGTGTCTAAAGGTGCTAAGGGAGCCATGTGAGCGAGACGACTGCCTGTAATTTTTTCTTATTATTGAATCATGATTGGGGAGTTTAGAGAATTTGAGAAAAATGAACCGCAATATAACAGTAATCAGCTACCTAAAACAGCTGCAGATCTTTAGCTGATATTCTTGTAAAGTAAATATTCCTTAATATCTTCAGCAGTCAGACTACATACCGTCCATTTTACTGTGTTCTTGTTATTCTCAACACATCGGTGCCAAAAGCCTCATACCTTGCAAAAGCTATCAAAAATATAAAAAGAGTTCTGCCGTAACATCCTCTTCAAGGCAGGAAGGGCAAATGGTATGGGTATGTCAATCACTTTCAAGTGTTTGTGCCACGAGAAAATAACCTGCCAGCAATCCTATAAGTTGTCTGCAGTCCCATCTGCTCAATCAAATCAAATATCTTGCCAGATCTTATGAGAAGACTCTTGCCCACATGCTGCCCCTCGAAGCCTACCAGTCATTGCTGAGCGAAATATTCATTCAGTTTCTGACGGTAGCCGAGCGTGGGAGCGTTTTTGCTTGTTAAACTACGTGTCAGTCAGTGGCGGACCCACAGGGGTTGTTTTAATATGGTGCATATGTATGTATAATATGGCGTCTATTTATTAAAACACCCCCCGCTGGATCCACCACTGCCTTGAGTGTAACTTGGTCGGCACTATAAACACACCTCTCCGCTTATTTTCCACAACGTAGTCCATGGCCATGACCAAGACTTCAGATCCTGCCCATTCGTGCAGGCCCGAGTTCAGTATTGGGATAAACCCAGCACTCGGCCTCAGGAAACTCAAAATTGTAGTATCTTCTCAGCAAAAGCAACGGTGTCGTACCATCCTGTGTCATTAAAAAGGCATTCACGTCTAGATTTCTGCCTCTAGCAAAGTTCGCCTCTTTTGACACTTACTCTGATACTTACCCACCAGATCTCAGTTTTTCTCACACTATTATCAGTAAATTTGAGCTCACGAAAAGTCATTCAACTTTTGCTAAATATTTTTTTT